TTTAGGCTCAAGTGAGTTCAATGGCAAATTCCATAATTGGTTATCTACATGAGAATAAAATAAAATGTTCACAAATAACAATTCCAAGTATATAAATAAATGTGAAATAATCTCTAAGAGGCTTTGAAGAAAATATAGAAGAGAACCTTTACAAGAAAAATACTGATAAATTCAACTTATTAAGAATTTGCTTACTAAAAAACAAACAACAATAACAAAAAAAACCCAAAAAAACCATGAGAGAAAAGGTACTTGGCAACTCAATTATCAAGACTAGTTTCTGAAGCATATTAAAATACATTACACTCCAACAAACAGCAAAATACTAGATATAACTCAATAATCCATTTACTACAGACTAGCTAAAACAAAAAAATACTGGTACAGCCAGGCCCAGTGGCACATGCCTGTATGATCCTAATGGCTCTGGAAACTGAGGCAGGAGAATCACAAGTTGAAAGCCAGCCTCAGCAACTTAGCAAGGCTGAAAGCAACTTAGTGAGATCTTTTCTCAAAGAAAGCTGGGGATGTGGCTTAGTGGTTAAGTACCCTAGTTAAAAAAAAAAAAAAGAAAAAAGCTGGTACAGCCACAGAATGGAAAATTGTTTTCCTGTGCTATATAATGTTTTCTATATTCTTATTTATGGAGGTTTTCCAAATATATTAAGAAAAAACATGGGATAGCAACAGAAGAATATATCAATTTGTACATGCAACATATTTTTTAAAATGCCTACAACCTAATGTATGAGGAAATAAGTACCCTATAGAAATAATGAGATAAACATGACTAAATAAAGAAAACATATGGTTGACTAAAAACACATGAAAAGGGCTGGGGATGTGGCTCAAGCGGTAGCGCGCTCGCCTAGCATGCGTGCGGCCCGGGTTCAATCCTCAGCAGCACCACATACCAACAAAGATGTTGTGTCCGCCGAGAACTAAGAAAAAATAAATAAATGTTAAAATTCTCTCTTTAAAAAAAAATTAAAAAAAAAAAAAAACACATGAAAAGATTTTCAATTTGTTTAAGGAAGCAGGGAAATAGTTTGTAAAGACAATGTACCATTTCATTTCCACCACACTGGCAAAAATCAATAGGTTGAACAAAGCCAAATAGGTTGGAGAAATGGTAGGTTTCATTCACTACTGCTGAATGATAAATCAAAACCACCATTTTGGTTACAAAAAATTGTGCTATGAATAGATAATTATTATAATGCATTCCACTATTGTCATGTATGTAAGAAAAAAATCAAAACCCACCATTTTGGAAATGTTACATAGCATCTAAGAAAGTCCAACACAGTCTTCCTATGGACCTAGCAATTCCACTATTAATGCGCTGGAGTAAAAATATTGTATATATGCACTTTGAGCCATCAGCACTAATTATAACAGCCTAATGATGGAAATAACCAACATGGATAAATACAGACTATATTCTTTTTTTAAAATATCTTTATTCATTTATTTTTTAATGTGGTGCTAAGGATCGAACCCAGTGCCTCACATGTGCGAAACAAGCTCTCTACTGCTAAGATATAACCCCAGCCCTCAGACTATTCTTACCAACAAATTATATTTCATTGCAAATGAATGAACTACAACAGGGGTTCCCAAAATGATGATAATGCTAATATACATGATTCTTTCAAATACTATATAATGGTATGCATTGTCAACCAGAAGAGCTGCAAAATTCAGTGAGGCAGTATTTTCCAAATGACAAATGAGTAGGAGAAAAAGCATATTTTCCTAAAAGTGTAATACAGACCAATGGATATTAATGTCACAGAGCAAGGGAAGTTTACTAATATTGTTCCATATTCTACATTGATGAAATGTAGTGACATAAATGATAAATATCAAAAAAGAACACAACTACCTCAAAATGATATTCAAGTATCTCTCCATTTTCCAACCACTTTTTCTCTATACATTGCAGTAGACTCAATGTGAAAATGTGAAGTAGAATTCTAGTAGACATTAAAATTATTTGCAAAAATGTAAAGCAGTGCCATTCATTGCTAATACTGGAGGTGGGTTGTTTCATTAAAATGTTATCCATAATGGATGTAATGGGCTTTTTTTTAAAGGTACAAATACATACATTTTAAATTGGTCAGTTCTAACATCTAGTGTAGTAACTACCAGCAGATACTACCCAAATAAATAAAAGATCTTTGGGATCCTCAATAGTGTTTTAAAGTATAAAGGAATCTTGAGACCAAAAGTTTGTGAATTGCTCAACTACAGGCACATTCTTCAACATGGATGAATTTCAGAAACAATGTTTGATAAAAAATAACTGACAGAACATATACTATGGTTCTATTTAAATAAAGTTCAAAAGCAAGTGAAGGTAAACAATATGTTAAGAAAATACACATGATAAAACTGTAAATAAAGACATGGGAATAATTAACATAAAATTGATAATAATCATGGTGATGGAGCAAGGAATTATTTCCTCCTAGAACAGACACAAAATGTTTCTAAGGTTCCTGTGGTTTTCTATTAAACAACATACAGATATGTACTTTTTAAAACTGTATATTTTTAATAGCATTTTTCATACAAAACAATTTTTTTTTTGGAAGAAGAAACAGACATACCTATTGTCCTAGAAGGAAAAACTCAAAAGAATGTCTCTTCTCAAATTAATCTATAAAATTCAATGCAATCTCAAACAACATCCCAAAGAAGATTTACTTGAAGAGATGGCTCTAAATTTAATCTGGAAGAAAAATGTAAAAGAACCCAAAGCTTTTTCAAAAGAAAGAAAGCACCAAAATATATTATAAAGCTATAATAACTAAAACGGTACATGGCTCAAAGAAGAGAGTTCGAACCCAATAAATACATACACAAATGATATTTTGCCCTGGCCAAAATATTTGACTTTCTTATTCATTAAAGAAGATAAAAATTAAATAGAATTTTCTTTCAATTATTAAATAGGTAAAATATTTAGAAATACTTTTACTATCCACTGCCGACTAGCAGGAAGATTAATACATGTTTTGAGAACTCAAAAGAGTACAATTATTTGAAATCATTCTGATAAGGACTCTAAAACATTCTCTGATCACTTAAGGCATGTTTATAATAGCATCAAAACAACCAAAACCAATCATCGAAGCATTGTTACAAAGAAATCTTGAAAATAAATGTCCACTAGCAGAGAAACAAAATACATGCAATGTCTAATTATACTAACTATATCATACTATATTTATTTAACAAATATTCTCAGGCAAGGTTTTAGGCACTCTGTGGATTTTAATTCATTTAAGCAAATATGTCTAGGTTACAGGATATGCTCATAATTTATATCTTTTTAAAAGAGCATTAATTACATTTGGGAAAATATCCTGAAAATATATTTCAAATACTGTGTTGTGCCTTCCTTTAAATAACTGTGGATACTTAAGTCACCTTTTATTTTTTCTGGCCTGGTTGATGTATTGGAGATATGATAATACAGTTATCCATTTCTACAAGGCAGGTTGTCAAGAGTATTCTTACACCGTTAATTTGCTTTGTTATAAACCTCGCGGATAGAATTACACCAGCCTCAGATTCTACCACATTGACTATCTCACACACACTCCTCCCTTTACAATGCTTTCTCAGGGGAATACTGTGGATCACTGTGGAGCCTCGGATCACTAATGCTATTACAAGTAGTATCGTGTACTTGCACAATACTTAAGCTTAAGACACATTTTCATAAGCCCTACCATTCTAATTTTACCTAAGGGGAAGAAAAAAGAAAGGTAAAACTGGTTTAAACATGAATTTCAAAAAGACAAGTGGTAATTAAGAAAAACTTGAGAATTCTGAAACTCAAGTTTTGAGGTTCATCAATCACGTTCTCCCAGAAAGTGCTGGTTAGTGCCGCCTTCAAACCAACTGCTGGGTTGCAAGGACCAACTTTTAGAACATTCCTTATGCATTATTCCAGCTAGTTCTTAAATGACTTTCCCTATGGGCAGCCCTTTTTTTTTTTTTTTTTTTTAAATAGGTCATGTACTGCCATGGTCTCTGAAGGAAGAAACTTGAGTAGCAGGCTTCATAACGAACCCTTAGGAAACGATTTCCTGGCAGTCCAGACCAATGAGGGCCACTACAGCCAAGAACTTACTGTCCTACTCGTGAGGATGCAGTTGCCTTCTGAAAGGCGAACCCAAACGAAATGTTTAAACCGTTTCAAACTTTCTGCCTGAAAAGGGGAGAAAACAATTTCGAAGCCCTGCACGGACCTGTGCCATGGTTAAGATGTGTGCGCTGGCGAAACTGAGACTGGCCATAGGTTGGACAGTCATGGGAAGGTGGCAAAGCAGAAAGAACGCAGAGCAATGCCGACCCCTCCCACCCGCCGCAAGGAAAACAGGTGGTAGGAACGCGCCCGCTGCCCATCATCGCAGAACCCCAGGGACGCAGCCCCCGGCCGCGGCGCACACGCCCGAGCAACTGGCGGTGCGCTCACCCTCAGGACCGGTTCTTCTCCGGGTGTCTGCGGAGGTGAGCGACCAGGACGCTAGGGACTGAAAGGGGTTTACCTGTCCTTGGTGCGGCCGCTGGCCCCGAGGACCTGAGATCACTGCGCACTTTTCTTCCCATGCTTTTCCAGCGCGTCCGCTCCTCCTTCCCCGGCCTGGCAGCCAGCTGGCCAGCAAGTGTGCACGAAATCAGGCGCCGTCTCCGGCCCTCGCGCAAACAGCGCCTCGTCAGAGGAACGCCGCGCTCCCCGCGTCCCGGGTCTCCCCTCAGAGTCACAGCCGACAACCTGCCCCGGGACGCCCGCCGCCTGAAAGACCGCGTCGACTTTCTCACGGCCGGGCTCCAGCAACCGGAAGTAAAACCTTGTGGCTCAAGGAAAAAGAGGAGGGGTGCGGAAAAAGAGAGAAAGTGAAAACTGAACTGCCGCGTCCCCTGGAAGACGGGAACCAATCACGGGGCGAAACCAGGACGCAGGCGCGAGCCGCCATTGGCGTCCACGCGGCGCTCGCTTTTCGTCTCTGCGCAGGCGCGAGTCTTAGGCTAGAACGGCGAGTTCGCATCTCGCGAGACTGGCTCCCGGCCGGATGCAGAAGACGCTGGCGGGAAACGACTGGAGACTAGCGGTGGCTTCTCTGGGTGCGGTATCCAGTGAAGTTCGCCTATTCCTCGCCTTCCCTACTGCCTGATCCTCCTGCCACTTAAGACATTTCCAAAGTCTCGCCCTTATCCATGTAATACGCGGTCTCTGCGCTAGTTCCCTAGAACAGCTCTCCATAATCCATATGGAGAGCAAACGTGACCATAAATAACGTTAATTCAGGGGTATCCTTACCCAAGATAAACCTCATTGAGAGAGTAAGTGCTGTTGAGCCAAGTATATTGACACGTTTGGGAATACAAAGATTTAATCACTTGGTGGGATAGTTCTGTTTATTGTGACCAGGTGCTGCATTAGACCCTTGAATTAACAACCATGAACAAGCTGGACAAAGACCCCGTAGCCATAATCGAATTTAGAGATGGGTGAAAAACAGATAAACCTACACCATAACGAAGTAGAATTCCTATAATACATTCTGTGAAGACAAACTGAAAATGCTAGTGGATGGAGTTGGAAGCCAGAGGCCAGAGCAGAAGAAGAACTACAAGATCTCAATGAAAAGGGGGATATTCAAAAATCAAAGATGAAGATGGCCAGGTGAATCCTAAGAAGATCTGAAAGTAGAGCTTTCACACCTGAAGGCACAGCAAGTGTAAAGGCTCTGAGAAGTGAAATTAAGCTTGTTCCAATAATTGAAGGTAAAGAATGAAATTGTATTAAAAATGCAAAGAACCAGAAGGTATAGCTTCATGATTTATCTTAAAGCAAATATTCATAAAACCCCCACCCAGGTCAAGAAATGGAACTTTGCCAATATTCTGGAAGCTCCCTCCCCCTGGTGTTTCCCAATCAATAGTTGAATATTCCCTTTGAGAATTAGTGAAATTTAATTGCCATTGCAATAGTACTAAGAGGTAGAACTTTTTTTTTTTTGGTTGGGGGTAGCGGGCATTGAACTTAGGGGCACTCAACCACTTAGAGCCACATCCCCAGCCCTATTTTGTATATTATTTAGAGACAGTTGTCACTGTGTTGCTTAGCACCTCACTTTTGCTGAGGCTGGCTTTGAACCCGCTGTTCTGCCTCAGCCTCCCAAACTGCTGGGATTACAGGTGTGGGCGCTATGCCTGCAGAAGAGGTGGAACTTTTAGTTAATTAGGTCATAAGTACTCTTTTGTGTATGGATTGTTGCAGGAGAGGTTTAGTTATCATATAGTCATGGGTTCCTGATGCCTGCTGTGGTCTCTCACTCCCTGAAAAACCAGCCTCTGTCTCAGAGCAAAGCCTGTCCAAGGAAGGGACAGGACCTTTGTCCTTGGAAAGACCCACAGAGCACTTCTAGGCACATTCCCACCCTGCTAAGTGGTTTATCTACAAATAACAGGAGAGATCTGCGCCAGGTGTCCCTGATTCAGTCAGGCTAGGTGGAGACCCATAGTAACCCCTAGCAGCCACCAATCAGCATGAGACAGGGAAATACCTGGGATGCCAGATGACCCTCCCAGTAGTTTATGATGGTTGATAATGCGTTGGGAAACCTTGTAGTTAAGCAGGAACACCCCTGTTGGCTTAAACCAATCAGTTAAATGAATCCCCCTTTTGTAGTAACCAATCACCTCTACCCAACTTGTTCCCGCCAGTGAATGTGCTAATCATGTTTTAAAGTTATTTGATTTTCCCTTGGTGTGTGATGATTTGCTAAGAGATGCTATGATGTATGTGGGGGGTCCCTGCCTTCTCCAAAGAATGTATAAAACTGCTGCAAACCCTGGGCTGGGGGCCTCTCAGCGTCACCGGTTGCTCTGTGTGTGTGTGTGTGTGTGTGTGTGTGTGTGTGTGTGTGTGCTCGCACAGAGGACCCAGCTAGCTCGCAATAAACACCTCTTTGCTGTTTACATCGATCTTGGTCTCTGATGGTCTTTTGGGGGTCCCGAATTCGAGCATAACATCCCTATGTACCCACTTGCCCCTTCCCCCGAGTAATAATGCAACATAAAGGGCTTCACCAGATGCAGCCCCTCAGTCTTTGATTTTCTAGCATCCAGAACCATAAGCAGAATAAGTTTCTCTTGTTTTTAATTGACTCAAGTGTGTTGTATTCTGTTAAAGCAACAGAAAATGGGCCAAGATGCCACTCTGGCCTACCACCAAATCTAATCACTACTCTGACTCCACCTAATGATCTTTTCCTTACTTAAAAAAAAAATTGCCACCTAATATGACTCCTTAAACTTTATCGTGTATTTGCTGGTGATTTGAAATCAACACAAATTAAATAGTTTTCTGCATGTGTATGAGACTCATTAGGTTTTTATGTGTTCCTGTTCTTACATTTTTCATGACTGTGTATATGGATGTAGCACATTTTCTTTACTCATGGCATTTTGATGGACATTTAGATTGTTTCCATTCTTGAATATTTTAAATAATGCTGATATTGAACATTCTTATTTATATCTTTTGAAGCACATGTGCACTTATTTCTGTTGAGCATACACCTACTAATGGAATGCTAAACATGGTTATTTGGATTTTTGTTTTTGCAAATATTTTCCCTCAAACACACACTATTGGCCAAATTCTCTTCCTCATTGATATTGGCCTTGGTTAAGTGAGTTCTTTGGATGATAGAATATTAGCAGACATTACGTGAAAGTGTTAAGTGCATTTTTGTAGTTTGCCTCTGCTCTTATCCCCAAATGATTCACATGACAAAAACAGGCCTCATGTAGCTGTTGCCCCTTCAGCCCAGGTCTCCAGAAGAAAGCTATGTGGAATTGGATGTGGTGTTGCACACCTCTGATCCCAGCAATTTGGGATGCTGAGGCAGGAGGATTGCAAGTTTGAGGCCATCCTCAGCATTTTAGGCCCTAAGCAACTTAGTGAGACCCAGTCTCAAAAAATAAAAATATCTGAGGATGTAGCTCAGTGGTAAAGTGCCATAGGTTCAAACCTCAGTACAAAAACAGCAACAACAAAAACCCCTATGTGAAATAGATGTGATGCCAAATCACAACTCAACACTCTTAGATTAGCAGAAAGTTAGATGTGTTGAAGATTGATGAGTCTGATCATTAATGCTGTATCAGAAACCACTGAGTTTGGGTTTTTATTATGGATGATGATGCCTAACTTTTGCCACACCTCCACAGCAGCTTATTCTAGTTTTTTCTACATCCTTGCCAATGCTTTTTAATTTGGTACATTATGGTTTGACTTTGCATTACCTCCTGCTGCACCCCTCCCCTGACTCAGGCAATGGCAAGGCCCTACTGAGGTGGGTGGCGCAAGGTGTCCATCCTCTGGAGGAGCGAAGTATGTTTCTGGGAATAGGCTGATTTGTTTTTGTATTCCTTTAATAAGTATAGTTGCGATTTCTCATATGACCATTAAGTATGAAGGAAAAAACATGACTTTCCCAATTAATGCAACTACAGATCTAAAGCATAGATCTGTTTGCTCTAAATGCAATGATTCAGCTGTGGAGTGTAAATTGTTAATGTCTAATGAAAAACTCCCTGTATTCCTGTCAAGGAAGTTTTTGAGAAATTAAATTAAAATCTAGAGAAGAAAAATTAATGTTAAGAAGACAGATTAGTGCTTAGTACTGGGCAATTTGTTCTTGTTCCTGTGCACAATGGTTTGTGCTCTTACTCTTGTTTGATTAAAAGTAATAACAAGTCAACCACTTGCCGTAACCATGGCACCGGTTCCAGTCAGTAAGTCAAGAAAGAATAGTCAAGGTATAGGCCAATAGTTTGGGACATTTGTAACTATTATTAAAAGTTAACTAAGCAGAAACAGCTCAAAGCAAAACGTGAACTGAAAGTACAAATGCTTGCTTATGCATAAGCCAAGATACATTCTTCTATTCTAATTGTAGCTAGGTAACATTTTGTTTCTTTGAATAATGATTCCTGTTTTGTAACCACAAAGTACTGTGAGCCTGCCAAAATGAAAAGTATATATGATCAACTTCACAAGTAAAGATTAGGATCAATACCTTCACTTTGGTGTCTGTGTTGTTTCTCCACCCTCTTTCGAGGACTCCTCACCATCCGTTTGTTTCCTGAGACCCCCTGTTGGAGCTGGTCTCCGACAGCCTCCAACTAGTATATTTTGGCTGTTCTAAGTTTTTTGAATTTCTGTATACATTTCTGAGTCATCTTATCCATTTTCTCATCTTAAAAAAAAACCTGATGGAATTTTTGTTGATATTATCCTGAATGCATAGATAAAATAAATCTAGGGGAGAATTAATATCTTAATAGCCTTCAAATATATAAAATATGATAAATTTAATTAGGTCATTAAAATTTTTAGGTATATTTATAAATTTCAATATACAAGTCTTGCATACATTTTGTTATATTTATCTCTTCTTATTTTTTGATGTTGTCCTTAATGGTACCTTAGACATTGAACATACAAAAATTTGGGGTTTTTTTAAATATTTATTTTTTAGTTGGACACAATGCCTTTATTTTATTTACTTATTTTTTATGTGGTGCTGAGGATCTAACTCAGGGCTTCGCTAGTGCTAAGCAAGAACTCTAGCACTGAGCCACAACCCCAGCCCCCCAAATTTGATGTTAGTATATATAAACACAATGGATTTTCCAGTGTTAATCTTGTATCTTATCTTACAACTTGCTAAACTCACTTAATATATCTAGTAGCTATTGTGTGTTTTCTAATGAAACTCTTTTAAGACAAATATTTTCTGCAAATAAAACTGGCTTCATTTCTTTTTTTCCAGTCTAGATTTCTCCTCTTCTTACATTATTTAAGCTCTTCTAATTCAAGTAGGATCAAACATCCTTGTAAGCTGGATAACAGATAAAAGAAAAGCATTTATAATGTTAGTTTTGATATTTTGTACACCCTTTTTTTAAATTAGAAATTTCCCTTTTATTCCTAATTTTCATAAATGGTTGTTGAATTTTGTCAAATGCTTTCTTTGTATCAAGATGATATAATATATGTATGTGATTATCATGTGTTTTATAATTGGATATATATCCCATTTTATATAGCCCATTAATGTGGTGAACTGTACATCGATTGGTTTTCCAATGTTAAACCAACATTGAGTTCCTGGGACAAACCCAATTTAGTCAGAATACATTGTCCTCTTTATAATATTACTAGACATGAATTACTGATACTTTGTTAAGGGCTCTGGCACTTATGTTCATGAGGCTATTGAAATGTGTATTGTTTTTCCTATAATATCTTTGACTTGGGTATCAAGATAACTCTGATTTCATGCAATGAGTTTCCAAAGTACTTTGATTAAAATTAGTAGCATTTCTAGAATTAATCGGCAAAACCATCAGGGCTTTTATTTTTCTTTATAGGAAGGATGTTTTTTGTTTTGTTTTTGTTTTTGTTTTGTACCAGTGATTAAACCCAGGTGCACTTAACCACTGAATCACATCTCCAGCCCTTTTTATTTTCTGAGACAGTGTCCCACTAAGTTGCAGAGACTTGGCTTTGAACCTAAGATCCTCCTGCATCAGCCTTCTGATGTGTGCCACAGCTCCTGGCTCTAGAAAGGTTTTTAAATACAGATTTTAATTTTAATAGATGTAGAGCTATAGATGATACCTATTTTCAGAGGAAGAGTGCCTCCCACTTTTACTGTCATACTTGGGTGATTATCTCCCTGAGGAGTGACATCAGAAAATTAACACTATGTGTGTGGGGTAGTACACAGATCAGAGCAATTTATTAAAGTCTCCAGTTTCCAATCAGGAATTATGATGCATGCAAAGAAACAAGAAACTATTATCTCCTACACTGGGAGAAAGCTAACCAATAGAAACTACCTACAAATGTGACCAGATGCCAGATTTAACAGAAAAGGACTGAAGTAAACATTATAAATATGCTCACCAAACTAAAGGAAAATATGATTAATATAAGTGAAGGAAGATATATGATAAATGTTGCATCAAATAGAACAATCACTAAGGAGAAAAATTCAAAACCTAATGGAAAACGTGGATTTCATAATATAATAATGAAGGAACTTTGGATTGTGCAGAGGTGAGTGAGGGGAGGGGAGAAAGTGTGGGGATGGAAAGGAAGTTGAAATGAGATGGACATTTTCACCCTATATACATGTATGATTACACTACCAGTGTGACTCCGCACCATGTACAGTCAGAGGAAGGAGAAATTGTACAATGTGTCAAAATGCATTCCACCGTAACTAATTAGAACAAATCTAAAAATTAAAAAAAAAAGAATACTAGAGGCATTGAACAGTTGATTTGAACTGTTTGAAGAAAGAACTAGTGAACTTGAGCATACATCAATAAAGATTATGTAAGCTGGATAACAGATAAGAAAAAAGAATTAAGAAAAATGAATGAAGCCTCAGAGAAGTATGGAGTAATAGTAATACCAAAAAGAAGAAAAAAAAGTTGAAAACTTCCTTAATTTATTAAAAAAAAAATAACCTACACACCCGAAAGCTCAACAATCTCCAGACAGGGTAAACACAAAGAGACTCACAAACAGAGAACTCATATAAAAATGTTGAAAATCAAAAACAAGAATAAACCGGATCCAGTGGCACATGCCTATAATCCCAGTGGCTGGGGAGGCTGAGGCAGGAGGATTGAGAGTATAAAGCCAGCTTCAGCAATTGGGCAAGGCCCTAATCAACTCAATGAGACCCTGTCTCTAAATAAAATACAAAAAAAGGGCTGGGGATGTGACTCCATGCTTAATTAGTGCGTTCAATCCTAGTACAAAAAAAAAAAAATTATGAAAGCAGCAAAAGAAAAATGAGTTGTAACTTACAAGGGAATTTCAATAAGATTAATAGCTACCTTAGCAGCAGTAACAACAGAAGCTTCTAGCTAGTGGGATGACATATTCCAAAGGCTCAAGAGAAAAAACTATCAATTAAGGATCCTATATTCGACAAAGCTATGTTTCAAAATGAAGGAGAATTAAAGATTGTCCCACAGAAACAGTAACTAAATTTGTGGCTAGAAGACCTGCCTTAACAAAAGAAATACTGAAGGAAGTTCTTCAGGTTGAAAGTGATATGAATTCATGTGAAAAACAAAGAGCATCAGTAAAGTTGATTGTGAAATGATGAAAATATGAACATACATATTCTCCTTCCTTTCTTCACAAAACTGATTTTAAAATCAGTCATATAAAATAATATATATATAATTTAATGTTGGGCTTCACAGGGAAATGAACTACATATGTGTAAAATATTTGCTAGTAACAAAGGAAGTAGGTGAGAGCAAAACTATATTTGATTTGGCTAAGGTTAGCAACACTGATGGTAAAATAATAGTTATGACAATATATTGTTTTTATAACATTAATAGTTAATATATTTATACAAATATGTATGACAATAGCACAGTAAAGAAGGAAAAGAGAACAGAGCTGTACAGATTTGCCTTTTTGTATGTCACTTGAATTAAACTAATGTAAATTCAAAGCTCATTCTGGTGTACTCTAGAACAGCACCGCCACCCCTGAAAAAAGAAGTGAAAAAGCAATTTAAAATGATACTTTTAAAAAATGATTTATTTTGCAACTCAATTTCTCAATTTTAGATAAAAATTCCATAAAATAAATGAGGACTGAGGTATTTAAGACAATACCCTGAAAATATATATTTGCCTTCATCAATTTTCCCAATATAGTTATATTAATTTTATTCGTACCTAAGTAATAAAACAATTTTTATGTAATTTTTTGTTTTCCATGGAGTCGATATTTGCTGACTTTTTCTCTGTATATATAAAAATATAACTTCAAATTCTATAACAAAACAGACACATATCAACACAGAGCTATATTAGGCGATGAGGTACAAAAAGATGTGTAAGTATGAAAATGGAAGTAGAGTAAAATGGATTGAGTAATTTGAGAGGTGTTGCTGGAGACTGAATCCCAGGGTACTTAACCACTGAGTCACATCCCCAGCCACCACCACCCTTTTTTGTAATTTAAATTTTGAGATGAGGTCTCACTAAGTTGCTTAGGCTTTGCTAAATTGCTTAGGTTGGCTTCAAACTTGCAATCCTCCTGCCTTGGATCCTGTAGTTGCTGGGATTACAGGTGTGCACCACTGCATCCAGCTGTATAAGTCATTTTTAGTAAACAATAAGAAGGAAATGAATAATACCTCTTTTAAGAGTAACTCATTGCCCAAATTACAAAACTTGGTATTGTTGTTTGAATATAAGATATCCCCTCCTTAAAAGCTCCTTTGTTAATGCAGGAACATTGGGGGTGAAATGATATGAATTGTAAGAGCTATAATTGAATTAGTCCATAGTAACTGAATGGACTGAGTGGTAACTATAGGCAGGTAGGATATGGTTGGAGGTGGGGAGTCACATTCCCTGGAAGAGTGCTTGTTTCCTCTGGCCCCTCACCCACATCTCTTTCTCTGCTTCCTGGCCACCACGAGGTGAGTTGCTTTCCTCTATTGCACCCTTTGGCTGTGATGTTCTGCCTCACTCTTGGCCCAGAGCAATGGACTTGGCTGTCTGTGGACTGAGATCTCTGAAACCAAGAACCCCAAATAAAATTTCCCTCCTCAAAGTTAACTTAGATATTGTGTTACACTATAGTGAAGTGGAGGAAGGAAAGAATAGTATTGAAAGGAAAGAACAACCACTTGGTCAAATGTAGAGAAATGTCTACAAGAACATAAGTAGATAATACAAAAATAAGCAAAGTACAACAACCAAGAAAAATGACCTCAATAACAAAAATATGACCTAGATGTAATTATTACTTATTATTGAAATTAATGGCAAGGCTAATGGGTAAGTAGATGGCCTAAAAGTGGTGGTTCTTGACTGTCTGTGTACTGTAGTGAGTTTCAGAATCACTCATACCAGTTGGGAATAGAATGCCCCCTTGAAGAACTTGCTGTCCAGGTGCAAGAACTAGTTAACTGATGTCCCAGCCATTAGCTCCTTCAGAAGTTGCCTTGGTTCTTAAGCAGAAATCATGCTCTTCTTGGGGGCAGTCCCTTACTGATGATTGAATAAGGTGGTGGCTCGGGGCTGGGGGCTATCCATTTCTTGCACAAAATGGGGTTCCCCTAATTTGTTGCAGAGATCCTGTTGCCTTGCAAATCTCCTCCTGCTCAGTTTTATTTTCTCCCCCTTCTTTCATAGGCTTTACATCCTGTGGTGGCCATGGAGATACCCCTCTCTGATCTCCTTCATGAGAACCTGCTGTGGAGAACACAGATGACACCAACTGCCACTCAGTTGAGTCTACCACAACTTCATGCTGAGGCCATCCTTTCCTCAGGCTGTTCCCGGCCTATGACTGAGCATGGTCGTATGCTACTATTGGGTCATTCTTGCTCAGAGCAGGCCTCTTCTCATGCAGAACCTTTGCTCAGAGTTCTACATCAGTCTAGTCGAGACTTTCTCAGAACTTTGCAGTAGCCCAAGATTTACTATGCAATTTTCCCTTCCCCATTTCCATTCACAATGGAAATGTGGACATCAGATCTGAACCACAATCTGAAGATTTTTCTCATCATTTCATGCTTGCTCCCTCTTCCTTTGTTCTTTGCAGATATTTCCCCCTACTAAGTCACTTCTATTTCTTTTTTTAGAGAACCAGAACTGATACAGGTAAAACTAAGAAAGGTCTAAGAAGAAAGAATATTGTATAGGATTTGAGGATTGATTCACTCACTGTCCAGATGGCAAGGAGGAGCACATTCCAAATGAACTGTGAGGTACAGGGTTGTCCATGGCATAAAGTGGAAGTGTGATGACTCTGTAGTTCAGTGCTAACAGTAAGAGAGGTGGTCACAGAGCTGCTCATTAATATCCATAGGTCTGGTGGGGTCTGAGGTAATAGAGGCAGGTGGTAACAGAAGCCAGGTGTCACAATTACTCTAGTGACTGGCAAAGTAGAGAGGCAGCCAAGGGAGTTTAACCTTAAGGGAGTTGCGGAGAAAACAAATAGTGCATGATAGTTTTAGGGGCAAAATAGATGGGCCCTTCTATACCTTTGCAACCAGAAAAGGCCAGAATGGAAGACAGGAAAGTCAAGGGTTGAGATGGAAGAAGTGGCCCCAATTTTGTCACTTCCAATGACCCATTGGGAGATCTTAAATGTCCCCAAAAGCTCATGTGTTAAAAGATTTGATTCCAGTGCAGCAGTGTTCAGAGGTGGGGTCTTGGGGAGGTGATTGGGTAATTAGGGCTCTGACCTCATGAATGGATTAATCTACTTATGAATTTATAGCTTAATGATTATTGTGTGGTAGTGGAAAGTTAGGTGGTAGGGCCTAATTGGAGGAGGTGGGGCAGTGTGGGGGGGATGCCATTGAAGGGTATAATTTTGTCCCTGACTCCTCCCTCTTTCTCTCTCTCTTTCCAGGTTGCCATAAATTGAGCGGCTTTCCCCTGCTGCCACAGGCTTCTGCCACAATGAATTTCTGCCTTGCTGTAGACAGAAAAGCGAGTGTGCCAAGCAACCTTGGCTAAAGCCTCTGAAACTGTGAACCAAGATGGATCTTTTCTCCTTTAAGCTCTTTTAAATTGTTTTTCTCAGGTATCATATCACAGTGATGTAACGTTAACTAATACACAGCAAAAGCAGTGGTTAGAGGGAAATTTTTGGCTTTATCCATTTAATCTCCAACTTCATTGACATGGGTAACCAACAGAAGAAGGTGGTGCCTTACCACAGAACTTTACACATACCTGGTCCAGCACTTTGAGAAGCTGATGATATTCAGTGAGAGCCAGTTGCTGCTTATATTAGAAAATAAACACGTTTAAAATAAACAATATGTTGCATCAAAAAACAAGGAAGCTTATTCAGAGTTGTGTTGCTTTCTTAGTGGTTGGAGGAGTCAGGTATTTTCCTTTCACTTTGGAGGGGTTGTCATGACATCACCCTCAGGGGACAGGGAAAATTTCTGTGGCTTTATTTCCTACCCTGCCTCATGCATGTGTCTTACCAAGTTGCTTAGACTAAACAATAGCTCCTGTTCATCAGAGCCGATCAACTCCATATAATTAAAAATAGAGCGATGGACTAGTTGGATGGAAAGGTAGTCAGGATTCCTGCAGACAAGATTGTGACATAAGGTTGGAATGTTGATAAAGTTCTGAGATAAGAAAGCGAAACTGAAAGCAAACCTTCATTAATGAAGATCCTGTCTCAAAAAAAAAAAAAAAAAAGGGCTGGGTTGTAACTCAGTGGTAATGCACTCCATTGCACCCCATGTTGAAAATAAATAAACAAATAATTTAGGTTTCGTACAGGTCAGGGTGAGTGAATCTGACCATGAGGCTGCAACCAACTTTGGCAAGGTTAAATCTTCTAAACTTCTGAAGCTGCTTTGCTTAAAAACGAAACCAAAACCAAAAACCTCACTTACTCAAATGTTGACTTGGAATCAAACCAGAAACAGATTCTGCCAGGCTGTGTCCCAGGTTCCATCTGCTAAGACTCTTAGGGGAACACGGGATTCAAACCTGTTCCTAAGGGAAAACTTGCTTTTAAAAATGCACTTGAAACCAGGGGCAGTGGCACATGCCTGTAATCCCAGTGGCTGGGGAAACTGAAGCAGGATGATCACAAATTCAAAGTCAGCCCCAGTAAGTTAATGAGGTCCTGAGCAATTTAGTAAGACCCTGTCCCTGTCTCAAAATAAAAATTAAAAATGGGTGGGGATGTGTCTCAGGGCTTGGGTGCCCCTGAGTTCAATCCCTGATACAAAAAAAAAGACTTGAATGATTTGAAATCTCATATAAAATATTATATGGAAAATGACAAACCCCAAAGTAGTGAGACCCCGGGAAAGGGGGATGAGAAGGAAAGCCATACATTGAGAGCATTGATCCTTTCCCTATACATTCCCCCCCCACCCCCCACCCC